TTCAATATTTGGCCCACAGTATCCTTCAATAAAGTAACTTGAGGCTTGAATTTTTTCTTGAGTTCTTTGGTAGTTAAGGTTGTGTGTCAACTTGTCTGGGCCTGGTTTTGAGTGGCTAGGCAGCTGGATGTAGTTATTCCCCATGATGAGACTGGTCATCAGGTCCATGGTGGAATCTACTGGAGCAGCTGAGTAGCTGCCTTAGGGATGTGGCCTGCTTCCAGTCTATAAGAAGATGGCTTTGAGACAGGTGTCTGAACTTTTCGGCATATCTGGATCCTGCATTTGGCTAAGTTTTCATCTCAGTGGCTTATGATGTTGTCTGCTGATCTTGGAACTATTAGTGAACTAATTCATGGTGGCCTGCTGTGTTGCTTGATAATTTTAGGACTGTGCCATTTTACTTGTCAACCTTGGGTTTTGTCAGCCTCAGCAGCCAGCAGCTGTCTGAGTTAAGAGACAGCTCCAGCTTCAGTGTGCCAGGAACAAAAGACAGAGCTGGCACCCAAGGTTGAGGTGCTTTTACCTAATTCCTAGAGCTGGCACTTTGAACTTGGACTTCTAGCCTCCAAAACTGTAAGAAAATAAATCCCTGTTTGTTCCAAGTCATCCATTTGTTGTATTTTCAGTTAGAGCATCACTTGAGGACCAAAATAGTTCTTCCAACTTGAGAAGTGCCAAGCATGTTCTTCTCTTTTGGTTTTCTAACTCCAAGTCTTTGCACATTTCATCATAATAGTTTACTTTGTCTTCTTGAACCACCCTTTGAAATCTCATGTTCAGTGCTTTTATTTCATCATCTCTTCACTCTGTTTTAGCTACTCTGTATTCAAGAATAAGTTTCAGAGTCTCTTCTGATATTCATTTTGTTCTTTTTTTCTTTCCTGTCTTTTTAATAACCTTTTACTTTCTTCATGTGTAATATCCATGATGCTATCCCACAATTCATCTGGTCTTCAGTCATTAGTTTTCAATGTGTCAAATCTATTCTTCAGATGGTCTCTAAATTCAGGTAGGATATACTCAAAGTTGTGCTTTGACTCGTTTTAATTTTCTGTACCATCAACTGAACTTGTATATGAGCAAGTGGAGATTTGTTCTACAGTCAGCCCCTGGCCCTGTTCCAAATTGATGGTTTTTAGCTTCTCCATTGTCTCTTTCTGCAAATGTAGTTGTTTTGACTCCTGTGTATTCATTTGGTGGGTTCAAGTGTAGTCATTGTTCATGTTGTTGAGAATAGGTATTAGCAATAAATTGTTGGTTTTGCAAAATTCTATAATGTGATCGCCAGCATCACTTCCATCACCAAGGCCATATTTTCCAACTACCAACTCTTCTTTGTTTCCAACTTTCTCATTCCAATCACCAGTAATTATAAATTCATCTTGTTTGTAAGTTTGATCAATTTCAGACTGTAGAAGTTGCTAAAAATCTTGAACTTTTTAATCTTTGGCATTAGTGGTTAGTGTGTAAATTTTAAAGTAGTCATGTTAACTAGTCCTCCTTGTAAGCATATAGGTATTATCTTATCATTGATGGCATTGTTTTTCAGGATCTTGAAATGTTCTTTTTGAAAATGAATGTTATACATTCCTCTTTAATGTGTCATTCCCAGCATAGTAGACCATATGATTATCCCATTCAAAATGATCAATGCCTGTTCATTTCAGCTCACTAATGCCTAGGAGATCAATCTTCAAGAGTTTCATTTCATTTTTTATGACATTTTCCTAAATTCATACTTCATATATTTCACATTCCAGTTATTAATGGCTGTGTGCAGGTATTTCTTTTCATTTTGATGCAACATTGGAAGCACTTACTTGTCTATGTCAAGAAATTAGGAAGACAACTACCTAGCCAACCAGCTGGAAGAGATACACATCTCTGCACATTCCAAAGAAAAGTGATTCAATAGAATGTGAAAATTATTGAAGAATATTATTAATATCATACTCAAGTAAAATTTTGCTGAAAATAATTCAAAACCAGTTGCAGCAGTACATAGTCAGGGAACTGCCAGCAATTTAAGCTGAATTCTGAAGAGGATGTGGAATGAGGGATATCATTGCTGATGGATCTTGGCTGAAAGCAGGGAATACCAGAAAGATGTTTACTTGTGTTTTATTGACTTTGTGGATCATATAAAATGATGGGTAAAATTGAGAATAATGGAATTCCAAAACAGTTCATTGTGCTCATGGAGAACCTGTTTATGCACAAAGAGTCAGTTGTTGGAACTGGCTCTTGGTCTATGAACAAAGGGATACTGTGTATTTTAAAATCAAGAAAGATGTGCATCAGGATTATATCCTTTCTCCATATTTATTCAACCTGTGTATTGAACAAATAATCTGAAAATCTGGCCTATATGAAGAAGAACAAGGCATCTGGATTGCAGGAAAACTCATTATCAACCTGAGATATGTAGATGACAGATGAGTGGTGGTTAGGTAACAGAGAAACAAACAACAATAACAAAAAAAAAAAATTCTTCACTGAAGGTTTCTTGCATTTTAGAATATTCACTTAAACATTTCCATGGTAACTTGAAGGGGAGAAAGGAGACCTTAGTAATAGCATATAATTCATATATGACAAGCTTTATTTGTAGGAAACAAAAATTAGACAACCTGATTGCCAAGTAGTGACTTTACTCTCATTACTCTCAAAGGAGATCATTTCTTCATGACAGAGACCACAAATTGGAACCCCACTCCAAGTGTGTTGTACTTGCTCTCTGCACAGAGTTTCAAATTTGTGAATTGTCCACTATAATTTTCTTAAAAGTCATGCTTTAGATACAAATTCTGAATTTGGCTTTTTTAGAGGATTTGGAAGATCTAACCATCCTTAGCCTCATTTCCACATGGCAGTAATGGGCCAAGATGTTCTGGTAGCAGCCTGGCCGGGTCACTGATCCCACCCATCAGGGGCCTCATGAACACCTGAAGGCATTTGAGTTTTCAAATACTGTTTTGTTGTTAGCTGCTGTAGAGTCAGCCCTGATTCCTGGAGACCCCATGTACAAGGGAATCCGATCAGAGTGATCTGTCGGGTTTTTGTCATCTGACTTTTGTGAGCATCAGACCTTTCTTCTTCGTCCATCTTACTCTAGAAGCTTTGCTTGTTCAGCATCACAGGAACCCACAAGTCTCTGCTGACAGACAGGTGGTAGCTGTGTTTGAGGTGCATTGACTGGGAATCAAACTTGGGTCATCTGTATGGAAGAAGAGAATTCTACCACTGTGCTACCACTGCCCCCATGAACCCTGTTTTAAGAGTTGACATTTTCTCAGAAAAAGCTTTGCACCTTGAGCTCAGTGCTAGTATACCAGATAATTTCAATGAAGCTACTGCTCTGTGCCTACCAAATCCTGTCCTGGCTTTCTCTGTTAAATTCAGAGGAAAGTTAAACTACTGCATAGAGATGAAACAATCTTTGCATCTATAAAGCTATTTATCCTAGGAATTGGTCAGGTTATTTCTTTACCTCCTGTCTCCTCTGTGACTTTATGCCTCTTCTGTGTGATAGTCCTCTAGCACCATACACCAAGTGATACTGTACCAACTAAAAGATGGCCAAGACCCTGACAGTGTTCATGGATGTGAATGCACCTGCTGCATAGTAGGTGTTCAGTGAATGTGAATTTCTTCCTCTCTTTGCTTCTCAACAAGGTGCCCAAATGAATGTCAGACATTTGAGTGCTAGAAGAGGCTGGGTCCTTATCTACACAGAAAGCCACAGCATGACACTCAATCCACATAGATTTGCCTCTTTTTATGTAAAATCTCAAGGAACCCTAATGGCACAGTGGTTAAGTGCTCAACTGCTAACTGAAAGGTTTGCTGTTCAAACACACCAGCCGCTCCATGGGAGCAAGATGAGGTAGTCTGCTTCCATAAAGATTTACAGCCTTGGAAGCTGTATGTGGCAGTTCTACTCTGTCCTATAGGGTCACTATGAATTGCAATAAACTCAATGGCAACAGGACGTAAAATCTCATTTTGAAAAGCACAATCTGCTGCTGTACTTCCTAAATGGAAACTCAGTGAACACATGTATGGGACAGATCATAGCCTAGATCACTGGCTGTGTCAAGAAAGCTGCAGAATCAACTGCCAGTTACCTTCTTAATTTGGGCACTTAGAAATTAGTGCCAAAAGTGCTGAAAACCAAAAAACCAGAGCTGTGGCCATTGAGTCAATTCTGACACATAATTGACCTTATAAGACAGGGTGGAACCTCCCCATAGGATTTCCAAGACTGTAATCTTTATGGACACAGACTGCCACATCTTTTTCCCATTGATCAGCTGGTGGATTTGAACCATCAACCTTTTAGTTAGCAGTTGAGCACTTTAACTACTGCACCACCAGGGCAATGTCTACATTTACAGAATGGCATTATGGAATTCTAAATCAAATGACAAGACCTCTCACTTGGAATTCTTATGCCTATGGGCTAAATTCATATGTTACAAAAGTTTGGTGCAACTTAAAAATTCAACTTATTAAAACATTCTTATTACTAGAGTTAAATGAGAGAGGGCAAAATTTTCTTCACAAATTGTTCACTTACATTTTCATATCTCAGCCAAGAAACATTTTGATGGTTTAGGGTTAGTCATGAGCCCCAGAAATATTATTTTGGAGTTGTGGAGACACCAAAATAGTTGGGAGGTGTCCTTCAGAATGTACTTTTGACTTTCCTGGGAACAACAGGGAAAACAGGAAACCAATTCCAAATGCACCCCATTGCTGATTTGTTTGCATTTGGGATAGGGAAGAAGCATATAGGCAGTGTCATTTTTTTTAACTTCTCTGGGATCTTTCATGGAGAGACTTAATCCTTATTTTAAGAACTCATCCCAAAGATGAGCATCCTCATAGCTGCATGATCTTCACAATGACAATCATCATTATAGCAGCATTCTGGATTTAAAGAAGCTCTGTCTTTGGAAATGCTCATAATCTTCCTGTGCATTTTTTTTCTCTAGTATAATAAAGTGTACAAGAACCTAAAGGAGTTTTCTCAGAATGGAGAGAATTTCTGCAAGCAGATCACATCTATTCTTCAGCAAAGGTACAAAACGCACATTTGCAATAAGCAGTACTTTCTGTAGTTGTAGCAAGTGATGTGACTGGAGGAATGATTACAGGCTGTCCTCCTTTCCAGAACATGGAGTTATATTTTGGTACTTGAGAGATTGGTTTGAAGAGTGATTCTCCTCTATTGCACATTTATTACTTGAATACCATAAAAATTAAGCAATTCTTGTTGGAAGGGCTCTGTGAAGTCTCTTCTGATTCCTCAGGCTTAGTTTATTATCCCTTCCTGGGGAGCCATCATTTTATCTGAGGTATGTGCTCTTATTGTCCTTCTCACACTGATAGCAATTATTACTTTATGTTTCTGCCTCCCCCAGTGTCTTACTTACTTTTGTATGGTGAATTTTTAGAGTTTGGCACTTTCCACTTCTTCAGTTAATGTCTCATGGCTGAAGGATGGATGAGTAAAAGATCACCATTGGCAGTATCATCTTTTCCTGATCACATGTAAATCTTAATTCAGTCAAGAAAGTTACAAAAATCCCTGCTTAAAACTAGAGAGCCCAATGACTGAGTGGACTGTAAGAGCTTTTTTAAGCCATTTCCCTACTCTAGAGAGCTCTGTAACCAATTACTCTAAAGAGATGTTCATAAGAGATATTCTTTCCTTTAAAGTAACCCACTTCAAATTTAAAATACTGTGTGTGTGCCAGAAGAAAAAAGATGCATGGACCGATTGCATACTGCACTCATAGGTCAAGAGCAGAAGAGGATATTAGCTTTATCACAACCAATGAATGAGGCCAAGAAAAGTTACAGAAGAGATCAAATAGGTTTTTATAAAGAAAGTGACTGGGTCTGTCAAAGGAGGCCAAAAAGAAAAAAAAAAATTAATATAGAATTATTTCCCAACAGCCAAACTGTTTTCATTCCACGAAAGAGAAAGGGAGAAGACCAATCTCATAGATAATTTCTTCTATAAGACTTCTAGGGGTTTCATTTCCTATGAGACTTTTATCAGTCTCAAAAGAAACAATCATAACAATTCAACCATAATCTGGATAAGAAAGTATCTCTCTCCTGCAGTTCAGACAGAATCTATGCATGTATTAGTCATGTAGACCAATAGGACCTGGGTTGCAGTCATAATGGCCCTCTGGGCCTTGAGTATCTGGTGTCCATGTTCAAAATTATTGCCTGATGTAGAGCTGTGAAGATAGAAGGTACGTGATTTAAAAATGCCTGCTGGTAAACAGACTCAATAGTGAACTAGTAAACTGAGTAAATTTGGCTGAGTCACTGCTCAAAAATTGTTCCCTTGTGTTTCCCTTGTTCAGATCATGTTGCATCTCCACCCTACCATGGTTCTATCTACTTTGTTTATACAGCAGGGTCTTCATTTCTTACCTGTGTCTCTCTTGAAGTAGTTCCTAGGGCTACCATCTGTCCTGTGCTGTTAATGTGCAACCCTTTACAAGTTCTAGAGTTCTAGAGTGGCTAAAAGGTGTCAGCAAGGGAGAAATATTTGGGTACTTAAAGATACCTCCATTCATGGTTTTACCTCCTTATAGAGCAGGATAAGGAGCTCTGGTAGCACCGTGCCTGAGGCACTTGACTGCTAACCAGAAGGCTGGCAGTTCAAACCCACCAGCCACTCCTCAGAAGGAAGGTTGAGCAATCTACTTCCACAGTGATACTTTCTCGGAAACCCAAGGAGGGGTCGCTATGAGTCAGGTCCAACTCGACGGCACATAACAACAACAACAACAGAGCAGGATAAGAATTTGAAAATATAAAAATACTACTTGTTAGCAAAATTATTTGCATATTCCTGGAATAAAAACCATATAATGTATATACAAAAGAGGGATCTAATGTTTTACTGAAACCAAGAAAAAAAAATAGAATATAGATACTAGGTTGTTTAAACAACAGATGCAATTTTAGCATTTGTGAATCTAATCTTATACAATTAAATCATTTCCTCCTTAATCAAGATACCATTTTTAATTTGCTTTGTACTCATTCTTGATAAATCATTTGTCAAAGTCTCCTCACTGTTAAGCTCTTAAAGCTTTCTTCTCCTTGTTTAGCTTTTTGATCATGTGGTTAATCTGACGGATGTTTGCATACATCAAAAGAGTCAGTATTTTGGGAGAACCATTTTCTAATGGATACAAAATCAGTAGGCATGGAGGTGATTCCAACTCACAGCAACCCCACGTATGTCAGAGTCGAACTGTGCTCCATACAGTTCTCAAGGACTGTTTTGCAGAAGTAGATCACCAGATCTTTCTCCCAAGGTACCTCTGATGGTCTTGAACCTTCAGTCTTTTGGTTAGTGGTCAAATGTGTTAAATATTAGCACCCAGGAATTCCAATGGACACAAAGATTCTATTAATCTGTCTATGCACCATGCTATATTTTCTTAGACTGCATTCATTCCTTCATGTTGGGTGGCAAAGATAGAGGTTACCTCAAATTCCAGGGTTGGGTTATGTCTTTCATATGGGGAGTGATTTTGAAGTCACTTCCTCTTCCTACTGTGTTTGAACTGAAGCAACATAACAATGGTATTACCAAGGATGTATGGTCACAACATAGATTGGATTACATTCCCCTTTACCCATCACCCACTCCTTGGAAGAAAGATGGGCAATCTCCTTCCGTAGTGATACCACCTCAGAAACCCAAGGAGGGGTTGCTATGAGTTGGGTTCAACTCAAGGGCACATAACAACAACAATATTACTCTCCCTGTTCATGAATTCAGTAATTACTTCCTTGGAGATGAAAAAGATAAAAAATTGATTTCAACCAGCTATGAGCCAGGGCTTATTTTTCTTTTAAGTTGGTGGGTTTATTACATATGAACCTATGCTACCTTTTCCTTTGTATTAGAAAAGCATCTGGAAAGTCAATAGCCTGTAAAAGAAACAATTCTGTTATTTAGGGCTACAGACAAGTAATAGGAATCTCCACAAGACAAGTAAAATAGTACTCTTGGAAGACGGAGAGTAAGTTTTCCACTGAGCATTATGATGTAGAAAATCATGAAGGCAAATCCACTAGTCAGCACAATGAAAAATAGAGTTAGTGAGCACATGGGCTTCTTTGAATTAGGTTCCTGGGTGGCATGAATGGTTGGTGTTTCACTACTAACCCAAAGGTTAGTGGCTGAACCCAGCAACACTGTGAAAGAAAGGCCTGGAAATCTACTTTTGTGAAAAGATCATAGCCAAGAAAACCTTATGAGCAGTTCAACTCTGTAACACAAGGGGTTGCCTTGAGTCCGAATTGGCTACATGACAGCAGGTTTGGTTTGCGTTTGGTTCTTTGAACTAGGAGTGCCTGACACATAAAAGGCATTCAGTAAATACTTGTAGATAAGATGAATAAATAAATGAGATGACATGTACTTATCTTTTTATTATTATTATTATTACATCTACATTATTAGAATAAGACCTTTGCTGGCCTCAGATATTTGCCTTTCCAAACAACTTGCTTAAAAGTATGTTGAAATGTAGTTCTTCTCAGCAAGTTCTGCATTAGCACATGGATATAAGAGGCTGTATCGTAATCAAGCCACAAGTCCAGTTAATGTTTCTTTCATTTCAAAGATTAGCTGTTTTCTTCCATTTGCTCTGATTGGTGATGATCAAAAAGTACAGTTGTTATTGAAACAGCTTTTTGCCTGGATATTCTGCAATTCATTGTCAGGCTTAGTGTCTTTTATCCAATTAGTTTCTTCACTTCCCTTTGTCTGCAGTGGTAGACCAAACTGAGATTTAGCCTGAGACAGACAGCAATTCCCAAAATGCCTAATGCCAAAGGCATCAGGCTCACTTTAATACAATTACAGATCAGATTTAAAAAGATATTCCCAGAAACTATGAGTGTTTGGTTCCCTACACCCTCACAGCTAATGTTTAAACAGGGTTTTATGGGAAAATCAATTGTTCTCTACAAGGAAACCTAAGATTTTCAAATGGCAAGTATCACTGCTATGGACATCAAAGAGAGAGAGAGTAATGTAGCTAGTCATTTGTTACATCAATGATCGACCACAGACACTGTCAACAAAGAAATAAAAACATTGAAATGAGATCTTTGATAAGTCTTCACCTATTCTGTGCTACCCATTATCCCAGGTGAACGTAACTCTCACTTTTGCATGTAGATGACTCCAAATCTATATTTCTAGGCAAGATTCTTAACTGGGGCACAAATGACAGCCTATTATATCCAACAGTCATTTCTACCCAGATATTCCATGGAATTAAGAAATCAATGTATCCAAAGCAGAATTTATTAGCTTTTCTTCAAAGCTAGTACCGCTTCTGGATTTTTACCATGGTGATTGGGGCTACTGCTCACCCATCAAGCCCAATACCTGGGAGCCATTCATGACTCGTTCATCTATCCCATCTTGTGATTAAATCTTCCTATTTAATTTCCCTAAACAGCTGTTATATCTTTAGCTTTCTTTTCATTCCATGGCCTCTGTATTTTTTCTGGGAAAAGTCTCTTAAACTGTTCTTCTGTCCAAGTCTCCTGCCTTCTAGCTGTGCAATTTATACACTGCACAAAGGCACCCGACAGGAGATGATAGCGGTAGAAATGCAATCCACTCTCAACCTGATAGTCTTAATTCGGGCTCAGAGCTGCATCCACTCTGAGGGTGTCTAGTTCCCTAGGGCTACTTGTAAAGCATGTATCACAAGAACAGAACTTTATTTTCTCACAGTTGTGGAGGCTTAATGTCCAAATCAGGGTCTCAGCCACTTCAATTCCTTCCTTGTTGGGAGACCCAGGTCTTCCTCCGTTTGTTGGTGTTTCTTAGCTTGTAGACAATCTTTACGTGGTGTCTGTCCTCCCCTATGAGTGTCTCTGTGTTCACTCTGCTCTTTTCGTGACTCTAAGTTGATTAGATTTAAAACTCATTGTCCTTGGGTAAGACCTAATTAAAACAACAAAGAAAACCCTATTCCCTAAAAGGATTATATTTACAGGTATAGAGGCTGGGATTTC